AGCATGTTTTTTTTTTGTTTTAAGACAGTGTTAAAAACAGATTAATCAAAAATTGAGTTTAATAAATGACTGAACAGAGGAAATCTGAATGGCTTTGTTAGATGTTGCCTGGGCTCATATTCTGATATTTTAACCAAGATTATTTATTCACATTTGCCAAGCCTACCAGCTGATGGTTTTACTTACATATGCAGTATTTCACATCTGACTTATCACCTTGTAAGACAGGGAGGAAGCCATTTTCAATTCATTTACATATGCTACTAATAGAGAGAAAAAGGGCAAAGAGACAAGAAATGTTACAAAATTCAAATTTAATTTTTAACTTCCCATAAGGACTCTTAATCTTTAAACCAGGAGGTAAAAAGGGTAAAAATGAATTTGTGGATAAAAGTTTCTAAATTTGGTATCGACTAAAGTTACTATAATTGAACCTTGGTCTCCACATAGGTAATTCACATTTAGTTAAAATACCTAGAATGTCAGTTTTGTTTATTCCTGGAAATTAAACACTGGAATCAACTTCTGTTTCTTTCTACATATTAAGTTACCCATGAGATCTTCTGTAGTGTACAGAATAATTTGGATGATTACACTTTTTTAAATCTCATTTGTACCTGTTAGCATTTTGTAATACCAGTACAGTTTCTTGCTTATCTGAAAGTACACCAAAACTAATCGCACCCATTTCCACAAATGCAAAAAAAAATCAACACCAAAATCTAAGAACATCACTTTTACTTAGAAGTATATGTAAACAGTATAACATATCATAAACTGCTACTGTAACAAAGATCCAAACTACTAAAATATCTACTACATACAGTACATTCAGTTCTGTAAACATAAGATACACAGAGGCAATTTCACAAATGCAGCACAACAACCAAAACAGTTTTCAGTGCCAATTACTGTATAAATACAAGTAAACCCATTAAATTCAATTTTTACATAAGCTTTATGAATGGAAGAACTAAATGCATGTTTTAGAGGTAGTTGAACTTAGAAAAAAGTACTGAATTTACTTAAATCGGGAATCAATATATTGATAAATTGCTTGTTAAATACTTTCTTATGGAATTCCAACTTTAACTGCTGTACTGCAGTTACTGTACAACATCACTATAATTAATGAAGAAGAATAATAGATTTAAGCAGTGAACAAATTAAATATGTCGTTAGATAAATAGAGTGTGCTTGTTTGACATACTCATATGTCATTTATACTAAAACTGGATTTTGGTGGGGAGCAAAGATGGGGAGCAATCTTAAATATTGAGACCTGTTACACAAAATTTTTGGAGTGAGAAAGGGAAAAAGAAAAATTTAAAGAAAACCACCTCTGGAAAAGGCAAATTGGAAACAGATGGCTTTTGTACCCCAGCTGTCAGCATGGATAGGAAAGCTTACCCAGGTAATGCTCCTTTTCAGATTATAAATCACAAGTACTGTACATAGAACTTTCTTGACACATCTCAAATCCAGTCATTCAGCTTTTTGTAAGGAGTCAAATTATCTGTCCATATAAGCCCAATTTCACACAAACCCTTTCATATTAGAGAAAAGGTTAGCAACCTGAAGTGAATATGTATAAATAATGTGACTATCTATGAGGGCTTTGGACCAAGGGTCTGCGGCAGTCTCTACCTTCTGTAGCTTTTGTATCTGGGATTGTGTAGTTCTACTGGGATGTCATGAACTACATTTCCCAATTGGTTATGGCTACTAATGATAGCCAACAGCATGTGTCCCTTGGGTTTTTTAAACATACTGTAGGTTTTCTCTAATTAAAACTGTTTGAAAAGCATCATGGCAAACTTGGAACTCAAAGCTTTCTGTTTGACACCATGTAGAGAACTGGAGTACTGAAGTGTTTAATGCCATGCAAATTCGTTCTTATTGAAGTCTTTTGATAAAAGAAACCTGAAGATCTGAAAAAATCTCTTTGCTAAATAAAAAATGGAACATTTTTTTTTCCTTCAGATAGGAGTTTTTTGTTAGTATCTACGTAGGACTCATAATTTCAAATTGATGTTTTGTTATTTATATTTATTGTGGCAAATAAAATGTACTATGGTAAATACAAGCACACATGGAATTAAAATCTCATCATGAGACTGCCTCTTATCCTTCCTATACAAAGGATAAAGCTGAAAGGGTCAAAATAAGCATAATAGATTCAGTTATATATAAGATATATATTTTATTATATATATATTTTATATAACTAGTTTAAATCTGTCTCATTAATAATTATTTTTACTAACATTGTACAATATATAATGACTTACATTTTCAGAAAATAGAATACATAAGTCAACCTGGTATTATTTAGTTTGAAGATCAAAAAAGCCATCACAAAAGCTTATAGATATGCTACTTTCTTGTGAACTCTGGCATTTTAAAACAAGGTTTGCAGAGTTCTGCTCATTTTATTGCATGGTTCTGATTTCAAAGAACAAATTCAGCTAAGGCACAAAATGCAAACTGCAAAAAAGCATTCTGAATGAATGTATTTAAAAAAGGTTAAGCAATCTAATCAGGAATTCTAACAGTGAAACTCTAAAAGCCTTGAAAAGTACACCCTCTACTACAATCAGCATGACAGCTACTTCACATTGACAGCTTAAGAAATTGTGCATTTCTGAGTTCTTAAATGATCCTAACAGAAAGCAAGAGCAAATTCTGTAGCTGAAGATCAAAACCATACTGCTCTGTTAATCACACCATAACAAGTTTTTACGACAGTAGCAAATGATAGGGTTAGTCACTTGTCACTCAGTGCAAGAACTCTTTCATTTCATCAAAATAAAATAGAAACATGGTGCTGCACGTTTCCTCAAGATCATTCCATTTAACTTCCTAACAGGTAAAAGTGCACTGGGAAAAGACAAACAGACCCTTAAAATAACTTAACACAAACTCTCCAACCATCAGATTTTTTATGTGCTGTCTACATCTGTAATGCAGGATTTCCAGGAGATTGTAGTCAGGTTCAGAGGAATTGTATTTGTCATTTACAATGTGCACAACTGTACATGGTTATTTAACCAGACCTAAAATCCAACTTGGCCTTTAAGAATTTAGCTGATTTTCATACAGCCTTTAGTATTACAAGAATATTGTTTTTTTCTTCTCTGCTGTTTCCCTCATGTAAAAAATAATAGTAAATCTCCTAGATTTCATAACATAGCTTCTGGTGTTGGGGAGCATTTATACACACTCATACAATCAACTTAGTTGTTTCTCTCCATAAAGTAAAATGAACTTTCTGCCCTCCTCAGTTGGAACATTTTTTCTTGATCAAAAGCTAAAGCCAAGAACAAAGACACTTCTTATTCTCAGTTTACATAAGTAACAAGCCAACAATACCAGATTAGCCATGGAAGCAGAACTTTCAATTATGAATCATACGAGCCTTTTATTCTGCAATTATAAATTTTAAAGTGTAGGAGATGTGAGAATTTCAATACTGCGCTTCTGGTCTTTTACTTGATATGCAAAGTATGGGGGAAAAAGTCAATCAACTGAGAACTACCCCCCCCCCCCCCCAATACACAAAAAGGGAAAAGAAAAAGTATTGGTACAACCAATACACAAAAAGGGAAAAGAAAAAGTATTGGTACAACCAATACACACAAAATATATTGCTTCCATACAAAGTAGTGAAACAGCTGTTTAGTTACGTTGAGCTGGGTCAGTGCCATAGTGGATCACAGCTATTGGCATTGACAACAGATGACAACAGGCACCCCACAAGCATGCAGGGTGGCTTTCTTAACATTTCAGTAAATCAAAAATGATTTGTTTTAAACACGTATGGGTTATCAGTAGGTTCTGAACGTGAATCCACCTCTGTGGCTGCAGCAGGGCCAACCTCTTTTTTTTTTTGTAGAATTAAACCCACTTCAGTTCCCTAAATACAAATATGTTTATAAAGTGCTCTTCAAAAGGATTTGGAGAGCCAAGTCAAACTTTATTTCTGCTGTCCAGTCAAGCACTTTATATTATGGCATCAATGTGAAGGACGAGGAATTCCATGCTTACATTTGATCATACAAGAACAATATTAGAACAACGTACTTGTCAATCGCATTCATCTTTCAGTCTCAAATACAAATTGCTTCACTGTAAAGCAAAAATCTCAGTTTTCACTTTGTTGTCCCAATTCATTTGGAGGGTAGTCTTTAACATAGAAGTAACAGTGTCTAGCAGCTTCGGGAATTAGACACTGCTCAAGCAGAGGTATAATAAGTTACGAGGCCGAAAGCTGCAAATGAAACATGCAGCACCTTCTTCTCTAAAGTGCAGCAGCCCTGCAAACCTCTTCTTAGACACAGAAGGCAAGTGGCTAAAAGACTCTCCAGTGTTAGCATTCACATGAAATCCTTTAAAGGTCATGCTATTGACATCAAACCTTAAATAGGAAAAGGGAAACCTTCACTATAGAAGCAGATAGAGATGACGGCAATACTGCTGTAGTAGTTTTTCCTGTCTGTCTTATTAGTAAAATTCTAATTAATTGTGATGGTCATGGTCAGAATTATGTTTCAATAAAAGTTTCTACTATATAAGGCTTTAGTTCACTTCACTCCCATCAATGTTAGCAGTAGACCAATTTATCATTATTTTCTGTACAGCACTATTTGTCCCTTTCAAATCCCTTTCTCCATCTGTTTCTCATCAGCGCAGGGTTTACAGCACAATTAAAAACGTAACACAGAAGACATATAGTGTCTACAATCAGAGCGATGATGCAGATGATCATTAATGAGGACAGAACACCGGGGTTTGAACAACAAACCTCTTCAAATGAACTGGATTACACAGATGTAGTCCTGCATCCAAACACTGAATACACAAAACTGTGAAACAGAATGGTTATAAAAATAAATTCAATACAAGCATGATGGCCACCGGGTTTGTATCAAAACACCTTACTGAGAAGCACAGTTGCGGTGATCCGAACAGTGTCCAAGGGAAAACAAACTGAAGAGAAGTTAATGATTTATCATTTGTTGTTTTAATTACAATGTTCTTTAATACAAAAAGGCTATACAAATTTTGGTCTTAAAAAACAAACAAACAAACAGGCAAATACAAACTAGAGGGCGGCCAGGTCACCGCGGCCGGTTGCGGGACATGAACATGAGCACTCGGCGGATGCCCGTCAGCCGGTCCTTCAGAGACGTCAGAGCCAGGAATGGCAGCTGAGCTCGCTCTTCCAGAGGCAGCACCGCAAGTAACCACCAGCACCACGGGGGGCCATTGGGACTGACCTGAGAAAGACGGACATGCGAGATAAGTCCTACAACGTCAAGCGGATGGCAAGCTCTCTGGTTAATATGGACATGGATAGAAAGCATTGACTATGGTTAACGGAGATGTGGATAAAGACAACAAGCTCTCAGGTTACTAGATATGGGAAAAAAAGCACACTCTGGGTTTAATACAGGTGCAGATGATGAGCATACTTGGGGTTAATATAGTTATGGCTGAAGAGGAAATGTTCTCAGACTAGTACCGATGTGGATAAAGATGGCAAGCTCTCAGGTTAATAATGATGTGGATAAAGACATAATTCAGAAATATTGAAGTGGATAAAGGCAGGTTAATTCAGATGCGAATAAACAAAGACAGGAAGCTCTTGTGTTAATACCAGAAGTGGATCAAGAAAGCAAGTTCACAGGTTAGTTTAGAGGTCGATAAACAAAGCCCTCAACTGAAAGATGATTTAGCCATTTTAACCCAATATGACTTCAATTTCAATTCACTTTCCCTTCTTCTGATCGTTTTGGGATTATACTTGGTTCATTAATCCTGAAAGTGTGTGAAGTGTGACCTGATTTTTCTACTCTATTTTTCTAAGTCAGGACTACACTCCCAGCAATATCAAGAAGCATACAAACAAAATCACCAAAAAGTGCAGGGTCCTTCTACATTCCTTGTAACATATGGCACCATCTGCAGCCTGTAGATGCTGCAGCTCTGGGCCTGCGCCTCCCAGAAGATCTCCACCCTTCGCCACCTCGTGTCTATTGAATGCAACCTCTCCACCCACCCTGTGTTAGCAAGCAGCCTGTTCGTAACTGTAGGACCCAGACAGTTTTCTACATCAGCACGGACGACCAACAGCTGAAGCAGCAGTGCCTTTCTGCCGTATTCGGAGCAGGGGTCTCAAACCCAGTTCCTGGAGGGTCTTGTGTCCCCTGGTTTTTGTTTTAAAACTTCTAAAACTTCTTTTGTTCCAAGTACTCAAACTATTTTTTAAATTAGACATTTAGAATTTTCCTTTAAGGGCTTTTACAGTTGACCACATAAGACACTTTATTCACTTTATTAAAGGTACATTTACCTAGAAAATCACCTTTACTTCATGGTCAGAAGTATCACAATTATGTATCTAATGAAAATAGTTATTATTCATTAATTAATTATTCATTAATGTAATTGAGTACAAAAGGGCACCAGGCTCTCCAGGATTGGTGTTTAAAACCCCTAAACTACTATGATTATATTGTCTTCTTTATAGCAACACAGCAGATGTGAATGAATGTGCTTCTAACCTGTGGCTCTGGGTCTTTTTCAGGCATAGGCCCAAAATGCCCAATAATTCGTTCTTTCTGTTCCGGTCTGATAGAATTAATCCAGGTTAAGGCTTGATCGTACACAGCATCATGGAGTGCTAGCAGCTCGGTCTCTTCTTCTCCTTCAACCTATCATGGAAAGCACAATAGTTAAAACAGTAATAATACCATCAATAAAAATAAATTGAGGGGGTGATGATCCACAAGTAGCATTTTAATCTTAACCACACACAAAGTCTTCAATCTGCAAAATGGTTCCATGAATTTCCCAAAAGTCTACCTTGTTATGCTGACTCATTTATCTACCCTCTTCCATGTCAGATCCGTATTCCTGCTAAGGGGCACTGCAGTTGAATGCCTATTCTAGAATCAGCAGGCAAAAGCGGAGGTGCACACACAAGCACACGAGGACAATATAGACACCCAGCCAGCATGTCTTTGATAGACAGGAGGAAACTAGGGGTTGCACAGAAAACACATGTGGTCATAGAGGACCATGCAAACTCCTTGCAGAAGGTGCCTCAGTGCAGAGTCAAACCTGGCACCTTAGAGTCGGGATACCAAACAATGCTTACAAAAATGATGTGCAAAAGATATCGCCATACCTTCTTGTCTTCCAAGTACTCTATATCTGCGGTGTTGTAGCCATCTCTCTGGCCGTGCTGGATTACTTTAAACCTCCTCTTTCCAATGGTATCAACAACAGAGCGGCCATCAGGGAAAAACTCCACGTTCCTGATTTCCAGAATGCAGCCATAATCTGCAAACCTGGAATGATATGATCATACTTTTAACAATACTAGATTACATTAAAATTAATCCTCTCACTGCCATAATACAGAATAGAAGGTTTAGTATACAAAGAATAAGTATACTAATTGTTCACTAGTATTGGAAATCACATTTGCCCAGTCTAGGAATTGATTTGTTTATAGATGAGTGATAATGGTCCTGGAGGAAAATAACAAAAAGTATCTGGAAAAAAAAAACAAAGTTTACCGTCTTCCAGTCATATAAGGTAAAATCAATCTCCCCATTGTATTTTAATTTGTACTTATTGTTGCATAAATCAAAACACCATGCCCTCATTATTGTACTTGCTATAGCCTTGTATTATGAAGAATCTGTTAGATACTGCAGTTTTGGCATAGGACAAAGTGATATATTTTCTAGACACGGCTACTTGGTCTCTTTAAGTAAAGTGAAAGCAAATCTCCTGGTACAATAGTTACTAACTGAACCAGGAAGTGTGAACTGGAAGTCATCACCAAATTAATATGTATTCACACTTATTATCAAAAACGTAATTCTAAATCTATGATGTCTGCAATTGCAGATTAAATCTTAAAATGGTTCTCATAAAAGTTAATTGCAGTAATGCATTCTTGTTGTGTGTTTGAAATGCTTTTATTTTCATAAATCTATTAATATAGTAATTCAGTCAGTATTTAGCATTTCCTACCCTTTGAGCGAGTCGCTAATGCACATTCCAAACTGCTTTGTGCCAGTCTCCATGCATCGTCGGATCATCAGCCGGTAACAGGGCTCGAAGATGTGCAGAGGGCAGGGTACGGTGGGGAAGGCCATGGTGCACACGAATATAGGCACGTTCTTATTCAAACTGCAAAGAGAACACATTCAGCAGTGAAGCAACCCGGATCCACAAAAACAAAATATCTCTGACGCAACACAGAAACTACACCACTATGGTAGCCGTCTCATTTTGGTCTAATTACAGTGCAGTCCGTAAGTATTTGGACAGTGACATAAATTTTGTTGTTTTGGCTCTGTACTGCAGCACATTGGATTTTAAATGAAACAATGGCTATGAGGTTAGAGTGCAGGATGTCAGCTTTAATTCGAGGTTATTTACAACTATATTGGGTGAACCCTATAGAAATCCCAGTCCTTTTTATACATAGTCCTCCCATTTCAGGGGATTAAAAGTAATTGGACACTAACAATCTTAAATAAAATTGTCATCTTCAGTACTTGGTTGGAAACCCTTTGCGATCAATGACTGCCTTACGTCTGCGACCCACAGACTTCACCAGATGCTTGGTATCCTTCCTGGTGATGCTCTGCCAGGCCTGTAATGCACCCAGGTTAAGTTCCTGCTTGTTACAGGGGCTTTTGGCCTTCAGTCTTGACTTCAGTAAGTGAAATGCATGCTCAATGGGATTCGGGTCAGGTGATTGACTTGGCCAGTCAAGAACATTCCACATTTTGGCCCTGAAAAGCTCTACAGTTGCTCTAGCAGTATGTTGGGGTCATTGTCCTGCTGAAGGTGAACCACCATTCAATGTGTTTTGAGGCATTTGGTTGGATCTGAGCAGAAAAGATGCTTCTGTACACTCCAGAATCCATCCTGCTTCTGATGTTGGCAGTTACATCATCAATAAAGACAAGTGAGCCAGTTGCACTGGCAGCCATACATGACCAAGCCATGACACTACCTCCACCATGTTTCACTGATGAGGTGGTATGCTTTGATCATGAGCAGTTCCTTCTTTTCTCCACACTTTCCTCTTTCCATCACTCTGGTACAGATTCATCCGTCCATAAGACTTTGTCCCAGAACTCGACAGGCTTTTTTTATGTACTTTCCAGCAAACTGTAACCTGGCCTTTCTGTTCTTGAGGCTTACTATTAGTTTGCGTCTTGTGGTGAACCCTCTGAGGTTATGCTGGTGTACTCTCCTCTTTATGGTAGTCTTTGACACATCTATGCCTACATCCTGGAGAGGGCTCTTGATCTGTTCAACAGTCGAAAAGGGGATTTTCTTCACGAATGAAAGTGTTCTTCCGACATCCATTACTGTGGTCTCCCGTGGTCTACCAGGTCGTTTGCTATAGCTAAGCTCGCTGTACACTATTTTTTATACATTTGCTGATATCCTTGAGGATGGGAAGCACTGGATGGGAAGCGTGATCTCAGGTGCTGTCAGATCAAGGCGAATCTTTAGGCGGTGCCAGGACACGGTCAAAGACAGGGCAGGGGCAGTTCTGATCAGACATCGCATCAGAGAGGGGCGAGATGAGACCTCCAAAACTTACTTGGATAGCTCTGCCATTTCCTCTTCGTAAACCTTCCTTCTTTCCACAAGCTCCTCTGGCAAATAGGTAGCTATGAGGTCCTCCATTAGAGTGGTTTTGCTGTACTGCCTCTGAGCCAGGTACTGGAATAGCAGGGGAAAACATGTCAGACAAAAATGCATATGGTGGATGTCTCTGAACATTGAAAGTCTGTGACTGAGTTTTAATATATGACCACGCAATGGACTGACAAGTAAAAAATGTTTAAAATAACACCAGACTTTTAAGACAAGCAATTGAGTTCACATACCTCCGAGAGACCCTCCTTGCATAGTGGACACTTGGCGTTGTGATCCAGGCATCTCTCTAGGCATTTCAGACAAAACGTGTGGCCACATGGAGTTGTAACAGGTTCATAGAAAAGTCTGAAAAATATTAAGAAGACACAGAAACAATATCGTGCAACACAACGCAGTGGTGGCTTTTTACTTGACAAAGCACCTGCTGTGGTTCAGTGCCTGTTATTATTAAAGTCCAAGTATGAATATGATGCCATCTCAACACAATGTGCTTTTGAAAGGCCATCAAAGAATTATCTTCAGTGACATCCCCAATCAATGCTACATCATCTCCATTTTCTAATCGCTTACTCCTGGTGGGTTGCAGTGGTAACTGAGCTGAGCAGAGAAGATCTGACTACCCTCTTCCCCAGCAACAGAGCTCCACCCCAGCTGAGAGACAGTCTCTCCAGTGTGTCCTGGGTCTGCCCTGGGGTCTCCTCCCAGTGGGTTGTGCCTGGTACAACCTGGCTCAGCCCAAAATGGTGGCATGGAGCCATCGTGTGGGCTCACCACCCACGGGGCAAAGGATGGGGGTCAGATGCTATGCCAGTCAAGTGACAAGCATGAGCCCAACAGATCTAGATGGACTAGACCTCAGTAATATAAGCTTTGCTACATTCCTTTTTTTCATACCTCGCTACTGATCCTTCAATAGTGTATAATTTAGTACAAAGCCTACCTGCTAGGAATGGTATTAAATAAGAATGAATAGCAACAAGAAGAGGCCATTCAGCCAATCTTGGTTTTTGCGGTGCTAGTAGTTTACTGTTCCTTGCACCTCTTCAAGCTTCATCAGCCACAATAAGGTTGAGAGCTTTTGTTCCAAAGACTCACAACGGAGAAGCTTTTACAGGTGTTTTTGCAATTCGTGTGAAAAAAACTATCTCTCTTCTGATTTTGCCCCTGCTGTATATCATTACACTTGCATTAGTGCTTAAGTAGTGTGATGCTCAGCTAATCAGTCAATAAACATTGAAATTCTAAATCGCAGCTACAAAATAATGACTTGATAAATTGTACCTGTGAAGTTTTCAAATTATACACATGTATTTTATCAAGAAATATAGCACTAGGATCAATACTCCTAATCCACTACGCAACATCCTGACAGAAAATTATTTTTATTCATCTAACAGCTATGCCCACAATATGAATTCATTTCACATCAAAGCTCCAGCACTTTCTAATCTAAGACCTGCTCTGAAGAAAAGCCCATTTTAGAACCAATCACAATTCTGTTTATCATTGAATGAAATTGCAGTAATTGGGGAAAAAAAACAACAGGTCTTGGTATGAAGATTTACTTGTTTTGGAGCTCACACACTGACACAGCTCCCCACTCATACTGTACTTCTTTAAATATAGCAAGTCAAGTGTGGCTTTAAAGTGCAGTTTACTGAGATGAAAGACCAATGAATTCCATGTGACAATATGTAGGTGAGGCCATACAGCCACTTATAATCCACATTGTTTCAGACACTCAGCTGTTGTCATAAAGAAAGAAAGTCTACTGGGAAGACTGTGCTGTTTGTGTGACAGTTAAGCAATTAAACACGAACCAATATCTCTAGGAATTAGTGGATACCTCATACACAGGGAGCATTCCAGATCTGCAGCATCAATGAGGTCACGGACCACAGAGTACCAGGAGGCTGCCTTTTCTTTTAGTGTTGTTTCTGAGAAAGGAAAGAAACATTTTATGTTTCATGTAGCAATGTTGGAATACCCTTGTGTGTTACAGTGTTTTATTTAGCATCATAGTCAGTATTAAAGAGTCATTAGTACAGCACAGCATCTTTGTAAAATATTCTCCAGAGCAGAACAGGAAAATAAATACAGTACCTTGAATGCTTAGCCTTAACTGTCCAAATTAAATTAAATCTGAAAATGCCACTTCCAGCTATTAATTTACCAACAATAAAAGGAACAATTATAATCTGTGGTATGCTTTAGGAATAAAACAAATATTACGTCTCAAATTGTCCAGCAGTCCTTATTATCTGTCCATAGTGGCCGGGTACATCCACATCATAAGACATTACATTTCTACAGCTGGTAAAACTGGTGCATAGTAAAGGAGTGAGTAAGCAAGCTTACCTAATTTTAAGTGTTTATAGGAACCTTCGTTGCTTTCAACTTTATCTTCATCTTCTGAACTGTATTTCCGTTTGAGAAGGAAGTTCCTGTCCACAACAGGGGGATGACAGACTTCACAAAAGCTCTCATCCTTTTCCCTATTTTCAGAGCAGGGACACCTAAAGCTGTTTATAGTGCCGGATTTTTTAGAACTGATGGACGGAGGTGGTTTTGATTTCTCCGGCAAATTTAAGGTGGCGCTTCTCTTCACAGAGTCCTGGTAGAAAGAATAGCCATGATTAGGAGAGATAGTAAGGACTTGAATCTTCTTTTCATTGCTGCTCCTTTGTTTCTAACAGCATAAGAAAGCCTACAAACGTGCAGATAATTGATCTGTGGGTGTTCATGCCAAATCAGCTCAATATTGGCTTGATGGAATCGATTGACCAACTTGTACCAATTCTTCAGGCGCTGCCACTTTGAAGAGATCTCAAATCCTGCTCTAGAGGCCCAAACACCCACTGGTTTTCATTCCAGCTCAGCTTTATTACCTAATGGGTGCCTGAATTGAACTAACAAGTATTAGACTTCAAATATTTCTCACTGAGCCTTTTGGATTATGTTTGGACAGTTAAATGTCACTTTCAGCTGTTAATTTACCAACAATAAAGGCGATTTGGATTTAATTTTTTTTAATGTCAACTCCAACACGTTAAGGAGCTGAACACAGTCAACCAGTTCAGCTGAACCTTAAAATGAATTAAGAGTTTAACAGTAACTCAGACTTTAACTGGGATAAAACCGACAGGTGTGTGGGCCTCCAGGTGCTGCAGCACTGAGAACACCTGATCTAAGGTATCAGCTTCAACAACCTGGCTGGGTAGTTTACTACAGACACTCACAACTCTGTGTAAAAATCTGCCTCCTGCTTTCAATTTTAAACGCACTGCCCCATAGTTTCCTCTCATGACCTTCTTCTTATTGAGGGTAAACAAGGATCACAGTCTGTTAGAATTTTATTGCACAATTTGTTAAAATCTCAATATAATCCCAAGTAAACCATTAAAAGCGTCTTGCATACCAATTGCACTATGTTAATCCTATGCTCACCCAAGCTCATTAATTAAACTGTTCATGCATAATGGCAGTGAGGATCCTCACCTCCTTCTTACCTTATATAGCCTTGGAGTGCTGATGCTGTAGTTGGAGTTCAAGGTGCTCAATGCATTTCCCTTTAATCGGACTCGAGCCGACAGTAGACTCATGCAGTCCGGTATCCTCTCCTGGACTTTGTCAGGTACTGGAGCAAACATGTCACTCAGCAACTAAACAAAATACACTGTAATTAATGAATGAATAAGTTTGCAGACAAGGTTTTGCCGCTTTGAATTCTAACAGGAATGTGTATTTCTACACTCAGGAAAACACCGGTATGTTTTATACTGCAGGATGTGTCCGGTTTCTCAACTGCACTTAATAATGTCTGATTTTATAAAACAAGTTTTCAGAAAAATCGCAACAAGACACAAAGGCTACACGGAGCAATGACGACTGAACTCCAGACTTCAACACTTACCTTCTGGGCTTCCGATTTCGCCAGTTTGCTTTCCGGTTCTAGTGCAATGCAAAACAGGTATTCGGTTAAAGCTTCTTCAGTTTTCCTAAGAGCAGCTAGAGCTTGTGCTTTCCTTAAATGTCCCTGTGAAAAAAAATTGAAAATTAAATTGAAAGAACACACTGCTGGGCTCCCAGATACTTAAACTAGTAAAGGATCTCAATGCTTAACAATTCTAGACCACAAAAATAACATCATTTGCAGTATGTGAGTAAATATATACAGAGGTGGTTTTCTGCACAGCAACTGTTAACCACTCAAAGATCTATATACCCATTAGCTGTGCTCACCCACCTTGTAAAATGTTATAAAAGGCTACGTACAAAGTTTAAGTACTGTATACTTTTAATATAATATACTCTAACCAAGATAAATTTAAGTAAGCCTGAAAACCTATTAAACTCTCTGTTCATTTCTCACACTTTTTTAGATTTGGGTATTCATGTAGCAAGACTACCTTAGGTAGTCTTAGGTCTTTTATCCCTTGATAGGGGATACCCTTCACACTACGTTAACATATCTCTCGCCTGAGCTAAAAACAGTCCTCAGGATACCAACCCTTGGAGGAATTCACATTCCCAAAACTGCATTCCACCACTCCTTCCCTTATGCTCCAATATCCTTTCTATACCCTAGATCTTCAAACAAAACTACTCTATTTTACAGCATAACTTTTCTCATATAATAATCACCAACAACAAATCTGCATAGCCTTCTTGTCCACAGATTTCTTAACTGGCCCATGCCTGGCACTTTTTGTTGAAACATAAACTAAAGCACAACAAATATATACCTCAGCAGCATACATATTCAGTGCTTTCCAAAAGCATTCACTCAATGCCAATATTATCACATTATAAGTAATGTGTTTTATTAATTAATTAATCTGGGCCCAAACTGTGAAGATCAAAAAGAACACCATTACATGTGAAGGAGGATGAATGTCTGCCAAAACTGAAAAAAGATAAAGGGATTGGTTGCGTATGTATTAAGTCCACTAAGTCATTCCTGTTCTTGGTGGAAGCACAGTAGGTGGTTATACCAGTTTTGCACAGTAGGATGGCATAATTCAGACCAGTATTCCTGGCAAAATGACTCCAGTTCTGACAAGCTCATTGGGCATAGCTGATGGACTGCAATTGGCAAGCCTCACCGCAAATTTTCTATTGGATTCAATATTAGTGGCAAGGCCACTTCAGGACATTCAATCTTTTACTGCCAGACCACTTCAGTGGGTCCTTGGCCTTGTGCTTTAGGTCACTGTCCTGATGAAATATGACCTTTTGACCTGGGTTTAGATTCGTGGGTGCCTCAGGCAGGTTACTCTCCACGACAGACATGTATTCTGCACCATCCACCTGTCTCAACCCTGACAAGCTTCCCAGTCTCTGCTGATGAGAACCAGGCTCATGGCATTGTACTGCCACAACCACGCTTGTCAACTGGCATGGAGCTTCCTGGCTGAGGTGATCTGCTGGACCTGTGCCAATGCAAAGCTCTGCATCTGGCCATTTCTGAAGCTGGGGTTCGAATGAGTCGTTTTGGAATCTTTAAGCTGTGACAACCAGCTCTCATTCGTCGTCGTCTGCTGCTGTATGGCTACCGATATGGTTAATGTTAACTCAACGCCCCCAGTGCAATACCCACGGCAACTTAAAAAATGTAGGGTAGGTTTTAGAACAGGAATTACAATTCCTTGTTAAAAATACATTTTAGTAATTTGTCATGTTCTACCATGTTGTCAAGCCCTGGTTTTCAATAATCCATCTTCTAGCTGGTTATGCCTATATTTTTACATATAGCATTTGTTCAGATGTATACACAAAAAAAATAGAACAATTCATTCTGGGCAGTAAATACATCAATCATATTTTCAGGGAATAATATATACAGGCACAGCTTTAGTTTTGAGGATCTGAATACACGCCCCAATGATAAACATTCTTTAATATTAAAATGGGATCTCACCTTTAACCCAAGTGGTTGAATTCTACACGCCATTTCGGCATCACAGAGTGCATCTTCAAAGTTTCTCAGACTGGAGTTTATTTGTGAACGGTTACTGAACAGTACATAGTCCCTGGGAGCTGAAAGAAAACAGACTCCAGTTCTTTTACATGCCTTCACAGAAAAACAAAATATTACGTCTTAATTTAACGCTCTCAAAGGAGGTGTAACGTTTTCAGAACCGTCATGGATCTTTTTTCTGCTGGTAGACCTATATCTTAAAAAAAAAACCTAGATCTGTAAATTTAAAAACACGCGTGACCTAACTTCATTCTACCACTAGACCTGACAAAAAGTCTTACAATTTAATATGCGAGTACAGCGAAACAGAAAAAAAACATTTGAAAGCAAATGGTACTTTTAAATCAATATCATTTTACTGCTTAATGCTCGGGTGATCGCCGTTAAGCCCAATTACATTGACCTGATCTGACTCCGGTCTTGAAAGATTTCCTGTGATATTTTTGTCCGGTATGAAATTAAGCCATGCCCTTTGGAAAAGAGAAATGAGATCACATTGTGACTCCTACATAGTTTAATGTCTGTCCGTGACTCACACACAACATAAGTGAGATAAAAGAAGAACATGTGCTCTTCTAATTAGCAGGGGTTTCATAAGTTTAATTTAGTCATGCGACAAATACACTGTACTCCTTTCACTCATTAGTAAATACAAGCGAAATAAAGTAAGTACACGGTCATTCGTTGGAATTTCTTTGTTCTTCCATGTGCGTTTTATCTTTGAAAGTGACTGAAATACAGAAATCGATTTGTTATTTTATTATAAAAGACTTGACCCACATTTTAACGTTTCATTGTTACACAATCGTCGGATCGCAGGGGGTGCTGGGCCGCTGTTACAGAACAAAAAGCCAGCGCCAGGTTACGTAATGTTTGCTCTCCTAGCCTACATTTTCATCCCCGGTCTTATTCAACTTCCACGCCCCTTCGCTAAGGTTACTACAGTCGTCTAATGTGCTCTAGCCCAGCTCAGCCTGCTGGTACTTGCCTGGCTTGATCAATTTCTGGAACAAGAGTACTGCCATGTTCTAGTTGCATATAAGACCGTACTGAAAAAAAATCACATTATCGACCCCGAAGGAATGTCACTTCCAGGCTCAGAGCCTTTAGAGGTTCACGTTTTATTTGAACAAAATCGCTTTTCTTGTTTAGCAAAGTCGCTAAAAGGTCTTAGAGCGGAACAAAACAGCGCCGCGTGTTAAGTCACGTATTTCGTCCGTACCACACTCAGGATGTTCACGATCAATATAGACAATAACTGGAATATAAATGGATCATTTAAGGCACTTCTGTGATATTTATAGAAAACGCCCGGGGTTATTTTGTCCACAACACCAGTCACCGGCAACACAAAAGCCATTGAGTCAAAACTGACCTTATTTAAGCTCTGCATTACACTTCCTATTCTACTAATTCCCTGTTTTCTTTGTTAACCAGAGCTGGGTGACGGGTCATTTGTATTCTAAAAATAACACAATGTCTCGGCGATACCCTGTTTAAAAAAGGGAATACAGGAAAGAAAACAGCGGTATGAGAGACGAATGCGGGACGGTATCAAGACGTTACCTAGTTTTATTGCTTCATTGTACTTCTCTAAAGCGGCTTCCAGTTTTTTCTCCGAGTACGAAACATTCCCCTCGTGTCTCAGCTGCACAGCTAAGAGTTGGGTCGGAAACCACTTGGATAACAAGTTGCTAAGAATTACGTTGACTCGGTAGCTCTGCACGTCGGCGAGTTTCGAGGCGTCTTTGCACTGCCGGCAGCACGCCGGCTTCTTCTCTCTGTCCAGGCACTTTTTGCAAAACGAGTGTCCGCAAGGCAAGGTAACGGGCTCGTAGAGGAATCCCAGACATATCCTGCAGGTGAAAGGATCGTGGCCGCCGAAGCCGGCGGCACTCTGCCCCTGTGGGCACCTCTGAAGGGGCAAGCCTTCCTTGCTTCGGATGCTGCCGATGAGACAGTCGGTGAGGGTCTCCAGCTGCGCAGGTCTCAGCCTCTCGAGTGCCGAGGCCTGCCGGTAGACCTCGAACGCTTCGGCCAGCTTCCCCCCGAACGCCAGCGCGTCCGCCCGCTTGACCAGCAGGTCCTGATGAGTCCCCTGGTCGCTGAAATCCTGTAGCTGGCATTCGTAGATCTCAGCAGCCAGCTCAAAGTTTCTCGCCTGGAAGGCTTCGGCAGCAAGCTCCAACATGACATTGCTTTCCATGTTTTCTGAGCCCATGTCCGGTACCAAGGCGTTGCTTTGCTAGTCGGCTACTCTTCCTTATTTGGATGGAACTGTTTATTTAGCCATAGTCGCCTTTCTGTCATTTTCTCGGCTCCTCGCCTCGCGCTCTGCTTGCTTATTGGAACAAGAACCATCGTTCAACATTGAGGTATTGGGCTGTAGGAAAAAAAATGTGTTATATAAACTACACCATGTGACTGTCTCGGGCTGCGCTCATTGGACGGGGCTTTAAAACTGTTACAAAACAAGTCAGTTTTGTAACATTGTCTTCAGCTTTTCAATTTGTAAGTATGTTTCGTGTCTTTTTGTTTGTTTGATAAAAGACAACCATGAACACGTTTCTCAATAGGGAATACGCTGCTATTGTGAAATAAAAGAACTTCTTTCAACCTCACTTCTCCCCATTCAGTCAGCCCAGGGTGCGCATTTTATGTGTACGAGCGCTGTAGATGTTGCTGGTCTGATTTATGTATACATTATATATAACGTATATATATTTCTAATCTACATTTCATACATTTCTGACCACTGTAGGTCAAAGCAATCAAAGTGGTACATAAGAAAAGTCGTGTTGCATATTGGCGATATGAATTTATAAACCACCTGTATCATTTAACATTTAATGGTCAATTTATATGCGTATGACTATCCCAATTAGCAGAGGAACAGCTCCGTGGATAAATAAAAGGACAAAAGACATTAAAATATCGGTAAGACGTGACGGAGTTTAACCACAGCTCTGTTATAAAACGTAAAAGATGCTGCAAATCACCTCTGCAAATTTGAATGGGCAGTTTCGAGCACGACTGTCGTCGTTACGGCCAAACATACTTGAATGGTAAAAGACAGCATCTGCCTTGAACTAACTAATGATAACGTAGCTTCATAATATAACCACATCACGTCCCCTTATGTGAATGATTACGGCGTTTGCCCTACATCGAGTGCTGCCCTGTATTACTGAAACGCTCTCAATCCAGGTTTCAGACGCCGCTCTGTAATACGGCGACGGCAACCTTGATCATGATCTGAGTTAGTCTGGGAAAGTGGGCCAGTCGGGTCAACCCGTCAGACTGTCTAGACCTTGATACGGCTTTCAGCCTAACACCGCCGGTTAGCTCGCCGTTTTCCACTTAGGATCTACTGCTTGCAAACATGCAGATTTTAAAGCGTGCCTGCATACTTTTTAACCCGTCTTTTTTCAGTTATTTTTGAACTTTTCTCCTATATCCATCCGATTATTAATCTGGAAGTTGGCATATTAAATGGGACGCCTTGTGATTGTACAGATTTCCCTGAATGACGAGCGTTGATGAAGAGGTCCAAGACGGGAAATGTTAATTTACTGTACTTTCTCTGATTTCTACTGGACCGTGCCATCAAATACAACATAACGTATTACCGGGCGGTTAGAATGTGTTAATAAGAAATAAAACTATGTGTGTTTCTTTATGTACAAGTTATTTAGCTGCTTGTGGCCCGTCAATGCCTTACCAAAGAAAAGTAATCAGTTACAATAAACGCTTCAGCAGCGTTTCGTTTCTTTGTTGAAGGAGACACGGAGTAACCCTCACCATCTATTTCAACTGGTAGAGTACTCTTTATATTTTTATAACAGATCAGGTGCTTTTTCTATTCATTTATCTTGGTAAATGAATTGAGCGCAGACCGTCGTTTGCAATGACGACCTGGATACCCATTTATACAGGAGGGCGTTTACAGGAGCAATGCAATTGAAGTTTGTACCTTACACATGTGCAAAGTAGCCGTTCAGGAGCCCTAGATGTTAATGCAGTGCTGCCAGAATTATTCGTTTTTACAGTTAAACAACAGAAATAATGTATTCGTGCATGTCGGATAGAGTCTTCAGCAAGTGAGCCTTGAGGGTGTTTTCTGAACTTTTTTAGCAATAAAAAAACTATTAATATTAAATTAATAAGTGCTTCACATACCGTTCGTATTGGTTCGGATTCACTCCATCCACTACTTAAGCGATGGTTAGTTTCAGGAGCCCAGATTGACCAAATCTGTACTTCTCAGTCAATACAAAATTCAGACTGAAAATCTGAACTCGTGTTTGCAGAGAGCGATACTTCGGGGATAGCACTTGACTATTATAGCCGCAACTTTACACGAGATACGTATACAGTACCATGGTTCCAGTTGAAATGCATAGAGAACATTTTCTATGCCTTTATGGCAGATTTAATTTAACAACGTAGAAGGAAATCAAATCTTTTAGGACTTTTTAATTACTTACAATAATATCAGTAGAACCTGTTTTTGTGTGTGTCCGTTCCCTAAGTCAACTAATAAAACTGATTAAACTAATAAAACTATCCTTCTATGGGGTTATGGAACTAATAAGAGCACAGATTACCTTCTCATCACCTTGAAAATACGACCATAACACCACGAAGAGCCTGGAACTTACATGGGAATCTGTTAAGAGCTAAATACTGTCAGAGGGCTGATAAAGTATTTACTTAAACATACTGTTGCATGGCACTTGAAGATCTATGCAGATAATACAGATAATGTGCAAAAACTTGCACATTTTCTTATTGAGTGTTTGAAGCAAGGTATTTACACTAGTATGTTTTTCCTACTATCCCGATTTCACGATTACAACTAAAACAGCTAGGAATTTCTTCCAATTTCACAGTTTCATCTCCACTACTAATTCATCTGGAGTGGGACCTAACACAGGAAGGACTGGCGATCTGTGAGAAGATGACAGCTGATGATGTTTTGAAATGCAGTCAGAGACCGTCAGAAACACAATTAGCCTGCTTTATTCACCATATATAAAAAAGGGGCAACCCCACAGAATGATGACCCATGGCAAAACGATGTCAGTCTTGGATTTGCAGCACACTTCGTTTTTCCAGATCATTCATTTCCTTCAGGATAAGTGCAACATTGTAGCGAAGCTCCTGGAACTTGGAAACTGGCAGCTTAGAAGAAAAAAAAACAGTTGTAAACTTATTGGTCATTTATTCGGCAGCTATTTTTTATTGTCCACTTTACTAAGTACTACGCCTGTATCCTTATATTTGACACAACACCATCTATGGATCACAATAGATACCAACCAGTCTTTTAACAAGTGAATGATACTTTTTCACACCATTTTAAACAGGTTGCTTTTTCACTTGGTGTGGAAGGAATTGAGAAAACTGCTCTACATGATGAAAACAGTGTTTACTGTAGCTCACATGCCACAGTTGGTAGGCTTCACCCAGCATTAGTAGGTGTGTAGCAGTTATAATTTCAAAATCAAATATTTATTCTATAGCCATGTTAGTAGAGAGATTGCCAAACCATTCTATTCCTCACCTCTCTGGTCAACTGTCTCCTACAAATGTCAACCTAAAGAATCCAAACAGTGGTCCCTCGATTTAGGAAGGTTTATCAAATGTCTAGCAAAATACTGAGCATCTGCCAGTTTAAGACAGCCTCTACAAAGAATTTATTGTGCCAAGCATGTCGTAGAATTCCTGTCTTTTGTGTAAAGGCAAAGGCTTTTTAAGATTGTATATCTGCATTTATTTGTGATTCATACCTGTAATTACAAGTTAGTAACTTGCACACAGTAAGTTGCTTTGTATCTGTTAAATATTTTTTAAACTGGGGGTTGTGCTGTTTGAATGAAAGATACAATAAAATAATCCAAAAACCAATGTCAAAATCCTAGAGGCATCTGAGTCTGCTGTAATGTGCCTCATCCCAACCTTCCACTCAGACTCTGTGACATGATACACTGATAAAACGTTCATTGTTTAAACACCTACGCTAAATAACTGAGGTTATATTTAGCATGTCTGTGTTGAAATCCACATTACTCTCGTTGAACTATGTAATGCTTCTTGTGAGTCTCTAGGAATGTGCATAAAACACCTTGAGGGCTTTTAAAGAAACTAACAACTTCATACTATTATTAATGGCATTTTAATCTTTTTATAGTCTTATAGTTTTCTTTATTTCTTCTTCTATGGTAAAGAAAACAGCAGAAGAGCCCCTACCTGCATGACACAATGTTGTGTAAGTAAAACATTTTGTTGGATGGAATCCTTTTACTAAGGCTGAACAAACAGAAGAGCTCTGACTAGCATTTTCTCTAAAAGGAATAAAACTGATGAATGTCTGAGCATTTTTTTTCAGATAGCTTTCAGATGAGCTCTATTCAATGCTTTTGCTTTGCTTCCTCAGATACCGTTGAGTCTCAAACGGTTGTGCCACTCTGCACATATTCTTTCCTCCTTGGTTTGGTCTGGCTTGGACAAGTATCATGATCTCCAAGAAGCTGACAGAATGTTGGTTTTTACAATATAAAAGAAATGACACTTTTTTACAATGTCAAAGAAGTTGCAATCCTCAAACACTGGCTTCCAAGAGCTACACTTAGTATTCATGGGATGCTGGACATCTTTGTTAATATGAGCGATAATCAATAATCGCTTCATTGATGGCACTTTGCCATTATCCTTCTATGAAGGATAATTCTCAAGGTATGAACTGATCATCAAACATTCTTCAGACTCTAATTGTGAAACCAAACTCACAGCCCTGGAGTGTTTTTATTTGGAAGGTTTTGATCTTACTGTGTGGACTGTTAAGTTCCCGTTTTCTCATATATCTCAGTACTGACAGTTACTGGGAAATCCATTTCTGTCAAGGCACAAACTGTAGTATCATCAGTGATGATTGAAGTCTGGGTGGTTTAAGTATTATACTGGAGATTAAATAATTTTCTGTCCATTTGGTAAGTATTCTGCACTCCAGCAGGGAGACTGTCTCATGTCAAATGGAGTGTGTCACTCAAATATATTGAAATATAGAGCTTGGGTGATGACATACAGTTCCCTTATTTGACTCCTGTCTGGATTACAAAGGAGTCTGTCATTGATCCATTAGTAAGGATTACTGAACACACCATCATGAAACAGGTGAAGGATGATGATGAATTTTGGAGAACACCCATACATCAGCAGGATCTTACAGATCAACACCTCATAATAAAGTCAAACATCTTTGTCAAATCCAAGAGTCCTTAGAAGGGAGGCTGGTGCTCCCTACATTTCTGATGTAACTGATGAACTGTTAAAAGAATTTCATGTCAGCCATCCTTCATGAGGCTTTGAATCCACAAGGCATCAGGCACCAGGCTTCAGCCAGAGGAAAGAGACATGAACCATACTCTGGATGATTAAGCTGGATGTAGAGAACGGGTATATGCAGTAATTATGCAAGTATAATGGTAAACCAGCATTGCCTGTTAATTTGTGATAAGAATCATGAGGCACTCAAGACCAGACTTGTGAGTTACTGACAATAATAAGTTACAACACAGCAGTCATAGAGGTTGATGATGTCATTCTTGATGTCATATTCCCTTCCAGAAAAACGTATTGCCATTTCCTTGTTCCTTATGATGCCCTTCCCTAGCTCACTGAGTTTCATGATGTCCTGGATCGTCTCGGTCTGGACAGTTCATGAAGGTTGTGATGTTGCAGATCCCAAATTTTCATTCTCCCTTTTACAATATGTTTTTTTGACAGCATGAAGGCGATCCCTCTGTATCTGAACTGTTTTTGCCATGTGTGGCACAGTACCCGTCACAGTAACTATAACAACCTGAAGACTTAAGGGGTCCTTCTGCATGTAGCCCTGTCAATGCTGACCCAACATTGCCCATCGTCCAGGCTCCGGGCAAGGATAGTGGAACCCAACAGCATAAGCAGAAAAGTACAATTCAGTAGGAAACTCATCTTTACCTCAAAACGATGGGCACTTCCGTCTGTTAGCTTCATCTGCATCAGAATGGAGGGTTGTAAAGCGCGGGCTAAGGAGCTGTTGGTCACAAAAATGGCTGTTTATTTTTCTTGCTAACAGTTGAGCCCAAAGTTAGTACACAAAGGACTCATAAAATATATATTTTTTTAAATAATAAACATATCACATACACTGATATGTTAATCAATCAATTGGTTTACATTGACACGCTGGAGAGCTTTTATACAGCAGGATATTATACTGGAGCACTGTGAATGCAGTACCTTGTTCTCAGATACAAAAACAGTGCCTCACCTGGGATATGGGATTATATAAGATCGCTTTATCAGCCATATACAATTTCTTGTATTAGGAATTGGCCCTTTCGCACACCCCAACTTGCTCTCCATGAGACACATAGATAGAGAGAAGCTTGGGGTCAGAGTGCAGGGTCAGCCATGTATACGGTGCCCCTGGAGCAGTTGGGGTTAAGGGCCTTGCCCAGGGGCCCAATGGAGTAGGATTCCTCTGCTGGCTGCAGGATATGAACCGACAATCCTAAGCCACACATCCTTATGATGTCTCCAGTCTGTATAATACATTTTAAACTACACTAAACTTGCATAATCCCTCTTAACTGAATGCATAAAATCAATCAACTTCCTTGCATTTATCACTAAAAACATTTTAAACTTTACAAGCATATTGAATTCAAATTTCATAAACTCATGTTCCATGAAATGCAATAATATATGGCAGTTCCTATGGGGAACATGGTACTCACTAAGCATATCTGCATTTTTAAGAACAAGTGTATATATACAGTATATATGAAATTCTGATAATATACCATTCCAGTATTATGTTAACAGCCAGGTGTGTTTATTTATGTCATCTATGGAAATAGACAAATAGACTAGTAAAATACTTACTAAATTCAAGGAAAGGTAGAAGACACATCTATGTATAGCTCACAGAATCCCTTTTGTTTTTTAATACTGGGATTTAAAAGCCATGAGCTATTTTTATCCAAGTCACATTAATCTCTGTCTTTACTGTTGTGTTATAAAAGTAGAAAACATTAGAGAAAATTCAAATATATATATTACTATTAAATCATAGAAAACGTTGTGAATACCCTTTAAAATGTATTTTTCTTTTATTATAAATATTCCTAAATTCAGGTATTTCTGGATTTTCTGCCAATGTATAGTAATACATTAATCTTCCAACTGGAGGAACACCCATGCATGATTAAAGGACAGTTTACTCTCTGTGCTCAGCCAGTTATTGACTTAAGACTGCTTCAACACGCCAGAACTCAAGGCAGTTTGGCAAAGTGGACCAGTGGTTGAGTCCAGGGTTACACTAGAACATTCAGAAGCTTTACTTGTGACCCAAGCTGGAATTTAGCCTTGCCTCCAGTGGTGAAAGTCCTGAAATAGCACTGAATTTAACCACTGTGGCATGTAGCCCTAAGACATGGCTTATATAAAATCACTTTATTGGCCATATACAATTTCTTGTATTAGGAATTTGTCTTTTTTGCATACCCCAACTTGTTCTCCATGGGACACACAGACAGGGAGAGAAGCTTGGGTTCAGAGTGCAGGGTCAGCCATTTATACGGCGCCCCTGGAGCAGTTGGGGTTAAGGGTTATGATTACCTATAATCATAGTATTTTTTTTAATACACTGCAAAATATTTTTTTTTAAATTCCCAGCTACATATTCATTAACTTCATCCCAAATGCATAGCACATCCTTTTTGTGCATCTATCACAAAAATAACCCTGCCACCAGCAAACGTGATTGGAGTTCTATGTTAAAAAGGAAAGTGTTGAATTATCCAAACAGCAGCTTCAGCATTGGCTGTCTTATCAATACTCTGAGTAACACAGAAGGGGGTATTATACCTGCACACATTAGTAAGAACCTAATGAAATAGAGATAAAGAGAATACATAATAGTGCATTATACAGGTAAGACAATAAAACTGTGGATACATCCGTTATTCATAATACTAGAATGATGCACTGACGAAATTTGCCATTCAAGATTGATTGATGAAAGAATATGTATTGTATAACAAAGACATTAAAAAAGGTTTTGCTACAATAAAACAAACAGTATTCGGCTCGTCATTTATACCATTTTAATGCAGTATTATTACAGAGCACTCACACTGTTCTTGTGCTTAGTAGGTGGGGGTTAATTACAGTTCAGAGAAACCCTGTGCTTTGAAAACTGCTTTCTCGATCACGTTGCATCTGTGAAGCAGGTGTTGTTTGACTTTGAAGCACGCATCATTGTAAAAAAAATAGTAACAATGGCTTAAGTGACTTTACCTTGTTGAAATGGCCACATCCACTCTCCACCTAAAATCCTCAATGCCTGGTAATTGAGGGCCCTGCTGAGAAGCTGCAGCTTCAAGTGCTGATCGCCTGAAACGATTCATAACGGCAATGGCATTCATTTAGCACGCACGTGACAGGGCACTCAGGACAGCACGGGTGAGCTCCAGGAGAAAAGCTGACGAGCTCTTTAAGGGGAGCATATCAATCCCATCTGTACACGACATGTGAAAAGAAGAAAAGGGGCATTTTGATCTTCAAAGACTCACAATTGATATGAAAGTCAAAATCTTCACTGTGATGTGCAGTGATGATTTTTTTTATGCATAAAGCACGGCCACTTCATCGTGGCACAGAAAAGAAACGGAAAATAAAAAACGAAAACGAAATACTAAAGTGCTGAGGGCGACCCACTTGTAGACTTCTGTAGACGACGAGCAAGTTCTTGAAATTCACAGGAAGAAAAATTGTTGCGCTTAACTCTGTGGAAAGCGTCATAGAGCAGAATGTCTGCAGAACGACCACAGACCTGTCCACCAGCCTTTTCGATTCAGATTTCAGTTAAAAAAAGTTCACTTTTTCACATTTAAAGAGGCCCTAAAATGAGCCACAGATATGGAAAACCATGTACAAATTAAAAAAATCCAAGCTCACAATTTGTCCTAGAGACTATAAAACAAGGTATGAACATACAAATGTACTGTAGTGGTAAATGTAAAGAAGAAATATTGTTGGCCTAAATACTGAGGATTTTCTTCCCATTACACATCCCCACTTAGTTTTCGATTCGGAATATAATGCAAAAGAAGAACTTCCAGAATACCTCACATTTTATTTACATATGTTTACACGAACATGTATGCCACAGTTTAATATTGAGGTTGAAATGCAACAGATTCAATTTGTTTAATTAAATAAGAGATTCAAGTACACGCACCAATAAAGCAATTTCAACCAGTGGTGAGAGCTGATGTGACTGACGCATGTCACACTTGACTAATGAAAGTCTCCGAACAATCCCAGCCCATTGCTGAGTGCATCTAAAATGTGGCTCCTGTGCCACATTATGTAACTAGTCAATGGCAAAACTAAACAGGTGCCCCTACTCATCCACCCAGACCTACACACACCCAAAGCCAGCTATACAGTTTTCCTCCTTGCTGAAATCCCTGAGGTTAGTTGCTATATGTTTGGTAAACAAAATCAGTATACTGGCATTACAAAACTTAGGTGCTTAAAAAATATTTTACAAATATCTCAATGTTTATCTGTGCATTTTTTTTTATTTTCTCTAACTGAATCGGACCTTCATAGCACAAACCCTTTTAATCAGTTTTGAATACATTTTTTAATATTTAATCTTTAATATTAATAATCAGCTTTACATAATCTTGAAGTCCATTTTTAAAATACATTAAATGGATTAATGACGGGCTCTTGCTTAACTGGTGTCAGATTTTATGCCTACAATTTTCTTAATTATGCAACCATTCTCTTTGTTGAGATGTCTATGAGATAGGCGATTGCATTTCCCCTTAAATTTCAAATGTGGCCAAAACGAAGATTAAAGAAGTTAACTAGAACAAACATCCGCCTCTCCAAGCTTTTAAATCCCAGCGGTATTGACAAAAACACAGGAGGTGACGTACGTTATCAAACGCTTATCTTTAAAAAATAAAAGTTCAACAAACCTGTTCCCAAAAACCACACTGGCAAAGTCTGTAATGAACTCCTCCGATATCCTGTAATGAAAAAAAATAGAATGGGATAGATCAGAGGTTCTTGTCCTTGACAAATCTAACAGCAAAACCGTATTCCTGTGTTTTTTTATTCAAATTCGCCCTTTGCTTTAAATTGATCTAATTTGTTGTAAGAGCAATTGTATTAACAAGGTCTGTGGCCTTTTTATCTGGATGAGTCCCTTCATTTACATCGCCGTTTCTCTCTCGATCTCAACCAAACGCCACTTTCTGCCAACACATACTGCAGCTATTTTATAATACACTAGAAGGAAAGCAATGTGCTAGTATGGCGGTATGCCCTGCTGTCTCACAGCTATTGGATACTGTCTTTGGTTTTATTTGTGGGTTTTTGCTGGGTCCCCCGGTTTCCTGCCACCTAACCTGGGGAAGGCAGGAAGTGGCTAGCTTGACAAACAGAATGGCAGAGACGAAGGAGCTCATAGAAATAATATCAGGCTTGTTGTGAAAAAAAGGTATCATACTATGCATTATTACTGAAACAGCATAAGGCTTTAGAAGTGGGCTTGACTGAATATGATGTTAAAGAGGAACTGCAGTCCCAATTTCTCAGACTATGTATGAATGTTGGTAACAAAATAAATTAATTGACAGAAAATTTGAGAAATTCCAAATTAAGCGCAAAATCATGAACGTTGTGAAAGCACTGTATGTTGTCAGACATTCCTGGTCTTGCCACGGGCGATTGTGATGTCAAACCAGCCCTTCCTGCTCACTAGTCACAGTAATGAGTAATGTAATGTGCGAGAGAATAAGTACAGGTTGTGACATTTCACCGTTGAAGTGTTCCAACGTGATCTGCATGCAGGATTAACAAGTAAGTTGCGTTTGTCAGCCTCGAAGTCGAGAGCAATATTTCCCCTGGATTAAAAGAGATGTATTCACAAGCCTGCGTGTTTACGATGTGATAGAGCCACTTCACCTCACCAGAAGTCTGGCTGCCTCGTTCTGAATCGTAGAATATGGCGCCGTGCTTACCTGGAAATTTAGTCTATTTTGTAAAAATTGAGCTTTTACACGTTACTGTATAAGTTTTACTTTCATTATGGTTTGAAATGCACTCATCAGTACTGTTTCTTTCTAACCTAAAAAAAATAGCTTTGCAGGTCCCCTTTAAAATTGGTCATTTAATTTTCTGAAATGAGAATCATGTTGACAGTACATTTTCCACAACTATAATTTTTCTGTGTTTCATGTCACCTTTCAAAGACATGCTATGTAGCCTTCCTAGACTGTTCTAACCTCTGCCCGTGTTTGTATGACTGTAGTGGACTTAGTTCCTGTATTGAGCCCTGTGTTTCTGGGATGGGCTTTATACTGTACATCCCTTACAAGGAATAAGTGGCTTTCTAATGATGGATTGACCGTAAGAGTTCGATTCATCATGGTAGAGGAAAGATACCAAACTCTAACACGAAGATTAGCAAACAAACAAATCTTGTGCCACCCCAAGTCACTTTTGAATTTTGCCAACCAATGCATAGCTGACTATCAATACATTACATGAATCAATACATTATCAAACATCAAATGTGAAATTATAAAAGAAGTATGCTTAGATGGTAAAATTACCTGAGTTCCCTTAAATCTTCTTTAAATACCTAATACAGAAAGAGATTTTGAATTAGTGCCTTCAATTCACATCAGTTTTTACAAATATGCATTTCTTACAATTACTGCTTTACTGTTTTGATCCTAATTTTTTTATTTAAAACCCAAATCCTCCTTGTAATCAAAGGTTTGGCTAGCACAGAACAAATAGGATTATTGTATAGAATATCCATTTATACCTAAAATACAAAAATATGCAGTTTAGTTGCATTATGATAAAAGCAAACTGTGGAAAAGTAAAAGGCATCTTAAAATTTCTGTAATGACATGTGAGAGCAACGTCTGTAATTTGAAAAATAATTCAGAAAAAAAAACTCCTCCCAAAAGTATATTCTAATGTTATTACAATAATAAAACTCTGCCTTGCTTGCCATGAACTGGTCCCGGTCTTACCTCTTGTTTTAGTGATGACGTAGGAAGGCGCAGGGCTTCTTTGAGAAGCCCATACATTCCCGCAATGATGTAGCTCAGCTGCTCTTCAGTCAGTGTTCCACTTTCAGCTATCATTCTCACAGACTCCCTACAGTCCTTTCCTTCAAGTGCGTTTACAACAGCTGAGGAGCACACAAACCACTGGTTACTTTGTGTATTTCTCCTGGTCTGCACCTGTAAGTTACATATCTGGCACTGTGTGTATGTTGATGGGTCACACACAGATGTGATTCTCAAAGCTGCAAACTCCTTCACAATTTCCAGGGCTCAGAAGAAGTGCCTGAAGCCATAAATGAGATCAACAAATAGGGAGCTGGAATTAAGAACAGAAGACTGTAGTTCTCTGTGACCAGGGCTGTTTTTTGGTGGCGATTGAGGGCTATATCATTTCGGTTTTTGACGTTTCTTCATAAACCTGTCACTTAGCACTTTTTAAACTGCCATGTGACTACACAAGTCAAGCATTCTGTATTAGCGAGGGCGTTATTCACTAAACCCAAAATAATTGCTTTTGCCCTCCGATAAACACAGCAATATACACCGTACTTATTTCTACGTTCAGCTGGAAATCATTCCATATTTGATTAATCAGTCGGCAAATCCATAAATCAGATCGTGAGTGGAAAATCTGCATGTCAACAATGTAGTGAACAAGAGTAGACTGGAAGTAATTTATGTAATATACATAATATACATTTTAAGGACGCAATTGAAAACCATACACCCCAAGCTTGTATTGTACATTCTTGAATAGTTTATCGAGAGCTCCCTCAAGTGGTGTTTGCTTGTGACAGAAGTGATTTCCGAAATATCTGAAGACGGAACAGCGTTACAACCACCCAATTCTGGCTGGTGTTCATGCTGAAATGCGTTGTGTTTAGGTAGCCAAAAATGATGACCGGATGCAGGCGCATAATTATTTAAACTAGCGTTAAATACACAGGCAGTATTACTACAAATGTAATATGCAACTTCTGATAAAATCGGTCAATACAAAATAAAATAATCAGACCAGAATAGGCAGACCAAAATACGAAGCAAACGTCATTCAGGTTAAATGAATGACTTACCTTTTAGTATCTTTCTGAACAATTCTTTATCTAAATTCTTCAGATGTTTTACCATGATTTCTACGTCGGAGGGTATCCTTGCGCCAAGAAAACTGGTCCTGTCCGTCATTTGCACACCTGGTTTCCCGATAGCAGACACCGACATGACTGGTGATCCTGCTCAGCTCGTGTAATTACGAGAGACCCGTTAAATATATTTTATATCCCGGTATATTTATCCAGAAGTACCGGTTAAAGTCAGCTCTGTTTAACACCCACTTTGGAAATACAATTCAGTCGACGTCGTTCCCATAAATCTCGTAAATTCGTTCAGAAAATACGCCTCAGTCGTGCATTATTCATTGCATCGCGTTATTTTAAGAGAAATTTGAGATGATCGAAATAGCATTCCCTGCCAGTGTTTTGATGCCGACAAGCTCTCGGTCCGTTTCCGTGAATGACACCCACGTGATCGAGACCCGTCTCAGATTAGCGCCCAGCCGTGGCGCGCCTCCTGCTGGGAAACATTGGTATTGCAGCCTTTCGTACCTGTTAACGCTGTGGCGGGGCTGTGTACCGGCGCCTTGGATGAACCCTGTAACAGCGAACCTCGGCAGTATTTGGGAAAGTTGATCACAAGAACAGAATGAAAGTAACAAAAACGTGTCAGTCAGTTAAGCAGACTAAATACGTCAGAGCAATAAGATAAAACTTATGAAGTTCAAGCAGGAGGGAGATTCAGATCAAGTACATGAATTTAAATTGCATAGCGGACTCCTAATTCTCATTTTTCTGCTCCTAGCCCTGTCTCGCTACCTTTCGTTCAGACACAGCACGACAAAAGGGAACGGAGACAACCTGTGAGGTTTACTTCGAGGTTTGCCGAGCTTACAATTGTCCAAAACTATTCGGCACCCCCTTATAGTTTAGGCTTGTCGAAGAAATTGTCAGAATTCCAAATTTCCGAAAAGATTCTTCCAATTGGGGGGGACTTTTGACATGAATAATCCGCCCGGCTAGAGGGCGCTCTAGTTAGGATCACGCTGCCAACTCATCAGCTTCTGTGACGTCATCGGAGTTACCTAGGGAAGAAAGGAAGTGGCGTAGCTCCGGCAAATGGAGTGGGAGAGAAGTAGGAGCTCTGAGGAATAATATCAGGTTTGTTGTGAGATATTCGGAATATGTTTACCGGAGTAACATACAGCATTGGAAGAAAACTTGAGCGTGTAAGATGGTAAAATGGGCATTATTTGCAAAAAGAGAACAGTGTGTACTTTTTACTTAAGGTTTTAATGCGACTACGGCAGATTATCGAGTCCCTCCATGGCTTGTCTCGGATCAAGAGGATTTAGCGTGGTTTATGTACTTCGGTCATGCGGGAGATTCGTTTTAAATGCCTTGTGCTACGTGAGCAAGAAAAAAAAAACTTTTAAGAATGTGCCTTCCGTCTTCATGGTTTTGATTCTTAAAACGTAGTCGAACTTCGGAGTGTTGGCTAGCCCATTGAACGTGTTACGTGTAACAGTTTTCCGAAAAACAGAATCCCTCGTCTTCATTTCTGCCTGAGTTGCCGACCTGTGGCATCACCGTTAATTAGTGCAGACTTGTGGGTTTTGTTTTTAAACAGTTCTAAGTAATTGCAAAAGTCGTGATTTAAATGGGGGTGGGGGAGTGTAGCGACATTTTGGGACTTTCTGCTTTAAAAGAATTAACCGGAGGTGTCTGGAGGTAAAATGGCAGGAGTGTGCCTCTCTCTTCTTTTCGGATCAGAGCAGAAACGCGCACTGACCTCAGCCCTGCAATTTTGCTCCAAGGCGGGTGTCGTATCCGTGGCAGTGAGTTGGCCAGCTTCCTCGGCCAGTTACTTTTTGTCAAGGCTGTCTCTACGAGCTTGAGTTGGTGTAGACGTTGGTTTTGAAACGAAGAGCTCTGGATCCTAAGCAATTTCGCAATTAAATGCACCGGTAGAGCCGTATAAGCATTGTGAAGACCAGCACACATGAAAGAATGTTTGTGGAATGTGTCTTTTAAACGAGAAACTGTTTTTTTTTTTATCCCTGCTCTTTTTAAACCTTTTGGTTTGAAGTCTCCGTTGCTGAACGTGTCCAACGTCGTTCTGTGCTCTTGGTTGTAGTGCGTCGCCTCTGTGCACAAATGTCGGAAAATCTCTACGAGAAGTTCCTGGCACCCGAGGATCCATTTCCATTGCTGGCCCAGCGAGGGAATCTCAGCGAAGTTGCCACCTTGGATGGCAGCGACTTCGGCTGCCAGCTGTCCTCCTGCCACAGAACGGACCCTCTCCATCGGTTCCACAGCAACAGGTGAGGGGCGGCGGTAGGGGGGGCTTTCCTGTCCCTGTTCGCAAGCAGCGCGGAAGAACTGCTCTTGGCTCTCGTCCAAAGTAATGAGTTTTAAACTCTTTTATGCAGCCAGATGTTTTACTGGAGGGAGCTGGGAAACGTACCTTGCTCAAGGGTACAACTGCAGTGCCTGACACTGGGAACTAGTATTCGTTTCCTCTCATTTCTGAAACATCCTTTTGAATAATAAAAATGCATTACACTGTACTGTGAACCTTGAAAAGTGGCACCATGAATTTTCGCACAATCCAACGCTGTCTTGTATATTGTTTTGCGTGAGCACGTTTAATTTCATCCCTCCTCTCGCGGTTTGCATTTATTTTAATGATTGGGCTAAAACGTCTTGGGGTTGAGTTTAAGATGGTAAAGTGCTCTGTGGATGCGCGTTTTCAGATGGAACCTCACGTCTTGTGGAACAAGTGTGGCAAGCTCCGAGTGCAGTGAGGAACTTTTCTCCTCCGTCTCGGTTGGGGATCAAGATGATTGCTATTCCCTCCTGGACGACCAGGAGTTCACTTCGTTCGACTTGTTCCCAGAAGGCAGTGTCTGCAGCGATGTTTCTTCCTCTATCAGTACCTACTGGGACTGGTCAGATAGTGAGTTCGAATGGCAGGTATGTCCAAAGAGTTTCATGTTCGTTTGTAAGAAGCCTATTATTGAAAGATGATTAGGTTGCTTTCAAGAGTTAGCTTTTGGGTCTTAATGTATCAAAAAGAAAAAATAATCTCTTGTTTTGAAGGAGTGGGGACAGGAAAACCACAGATTTGCTTAATTTCTATTTACTCTTAATAGTTAAACTATACCTTTGCAAGTATAGTAACTTTTGGAAGTAAAATCAGTAACAAATGTCGTGTTTTGTCTGGTCAGGATTCTTCCTAAATGCTCACTTGGAAACTCACTACATTTTCCTTCTCAGCTGCCAGGAAGTGACATAGCAAGTGGAAGTGATGTACTCTCTGACATCATACCCAGCATTCCCAGTTCTCCTTGCCTTGTCCCAAAGAGAAAAAGCAAACCACACCGCAATCTGGATGAGCTAGCCTGGAGTGCAATGACAAATGATGAGCAGGTACATCTTACTGACAGGAATAATATATACTTTAAACGTGTGTCAGAGATTATTCTTTATGCGATATGAGACACAGATTAGACTAAGTTATTTTGAAGTAGAAATCTGTGTGGAAATGTTATACACTGCAGAGCATTCTTTAAGATGCATAGTTTGGAATTGAAATGATCCATTTCTTAAACTTGGTGCATTGCTATATACTGTAAAGGTCTTTTAAGGCAGGGCATGGTTAGTGGTTAGTCATCGTTAGTCATCTTTGTGTTTGGCTGTAAAATAAATTCAAAGCATTTTCCTAATGCTTTATTTTTGTTGTGCTTAGTGTTTATTTGCATGAAGCCTAAGTAGACAGTACTTCCGACCCATTAAAGCCACCGTTAAAAGTGTAGTAGCCTATGTGAACAATGAAGGCAGAACAGGATTCTGCCTAAAACATTAATTTCTTTTTCTGTTTCCAAATATCCAGGTAAACTTGGATTCTAAACAGATATGAATGATTGCAAAGATATTTTACACTACTGCAAGCAAAACATTAAAACTGGCATTGTGTGAACATACTGTATCTTCAATAGGGCAAGACTAATCTGTTACAACACTGTTCACAATTCACTTTCCTCTTTAGGGGGTTAAGAGTTTACTTCTGCGTCACAATGCTGTGGTGAGGGCTGACCCACATCCCAGGATCAGAAAATTACATTGCTGTGAACGCCTGTTATTCCTGAGGTTGTTCCTTTCATTTTTATTCGTGTATGTTTTTTTCTTATGTAGGTGGAATATATTGAATACTTGAGTCGAAAGGTCAGCACTGAGATGGGACTAAGGGAACAACTTGACATTATAAAGATCATCGATCCGTGCGCACAGATATCCCCCACTGACAGCGAGTTCATTATTGAACTGAACTGCCTGACAGATGAGAAACTAAAGCAGGTGAGGCACAATTTAATCTGAATCTTTTGATGATAAGTTTGAAACATACAGCAACATTTGTTTCAATTATACAATTGACCGCTCTGAACGCTGTTGCTTTCTAAAGAATCGAGTGGCAGAATACTTTAAACGCTTCTTCCATCATTTCTGAGTATATAGAACAGGTTGCTGTAGATTGTTTAACAGTAAAGAAAAAAAGTCAAATCTTTTTGTCAGATCCTGCTTTGTGATGTTTCTGATTTGGATCTGTAGGAATAGTAACTTATTTATACGAGAATGTCCTGTCATTTGAAGTATTAGACCCTTTTTACATGCACATTACACGCACTAGCATACATTGCTAGTATTTTGAGATCCTTTGACAGCCTCATTTTCTGTGACACAGGTGAGGAATTACATAAAGGATCACAGCTCCCGGCTGCGTCCGAGCAGCACCAGGGATAGCTGGAAGAGAAGTAGCTACGGCAGTGCCAGCACCAGTGGGGTGAGTGGTGCCAGCAGCAGCAATGCCAGCATGGTTAGCACTGCCAGTAGCAGCAATGGCTCTGTGGGCTCCAGCTGCAGTGCTGCCAACATGAGCCGGGCACACAGTGACAGCAGCCTCTCCGCCAGCGCTGCCGAGCGGATCCGCGATTCTAAGGTAAGACCGGGCCTGTGGGTGAGCCAGAAACCATTTTCATGAACTGCAGTTCCAAGGCTGAGCATTCAAACGATAAATATCATTTAGAAATCATGAGTGTAAGGTAAGATCACTTTATTAGCCCTACACAATTTCTTGCATTAGGAATTTATCTTTCCGCATACCCCAGCTTGCTGTCCGTGAGACACCCAGACGGGGAGCACCAGGGCTCTAGGTTTTTTAGAACAAAAACAAATATGCTAGAATTGTAGTTTTGCATGCCGTCGTGAGAAGTGTACCGTAACGCAAACCGTTGATAATCAAGAATTAGTAATGATGACCATGATGAAGAATTAAACAATTTGTTTGATTGTACCCATTACAGAATTATTGAATTTTATTTTCCCTTGTCTGCAATAAGAACATTCTTGTAGGCGTCCTAAAATGAAGTCTTTGTAATTGCTGTTCTGGAATGGCGACCAGTAAAAAGTCGTTAGTACTCGCATACACATTCACAATCGCCTAGAATCAATGAGACGACAAGGCAGCAAGGTCCTGGGATTCACGTCGTCAAAAGAGTGACGATGTGGAGGAGCTGAACTTGTCTTTCTTTTCGTGATGAATTGATTTTGTCGGGCTTGCTCTCCCGTTGCTCTCGCCAGAAGCGATCTAAGCAGCGAAAGCTGCAGCAGAAGGCCCTGCGCAAGAGGCAGCTGAAGGAGCAAAGGCAGGCTCGCAAGGAAAGGCTGAGTGGACTGTTCCTCAACGAGGAGGTGCTCTCCCTCAAAGTGACGGAGGAGGACAACGAGGGCGACGTCGACATCTTGATGTGACGAGAGTGAATCCCTCAGTGTTCCTTCTAAGCCTTGGACTACGATGTGTGCCCCCTCTCCTTTCTCTTCTGGCAAATACTTCTGGGATGTTTGCTTTTGCCCATCGTACTTTTTTTTTTTCCCCGTAAGAATTTCAAATGCCGGCATTCTCACTCCTAGTACAACAGACAAGACTGTTGGCAGAATAGCTTAAGCCATAAATGTCACGCTTGATAACCTGTTATTTTCTAATGCCACATTCCCTCCCCCTCCTCTCTGTCCAGTCTTTATGTAGCACCTTACCTTGATGGAGTAAATAAGGCACTTATCTGCTAGTTAAGACTTAAAAGCTTTTACTTGCTTTAAAAACAATGCACATAGTCCTGGGGAGGCTTCATAAAATGTTTCAAAGATCCAGCAAAATGTTTAACACTAAAGCAATTTTTCAGTCTGCACCAGGGGGCAGCAGTAGACCGTGTCCGACCTGAAGATCTAAATTCCTCTAAAGCAGAACTGTTAACAGAAATTTTTACATTAACGAGAGGGGGTCAAGGTGAACCAGGCATAGAGGGAACACTGAAACAAGACTTGTGTATGCTAGGAATTCATAGCGGTTTGTGCCGTGAGGGAGCAAGAAAACTTAAATCAATTTTAAGTACTGCTGTTATGATATTTCCTACAAAAGCAAAGTTATATTTTTGTTTTTCTGATAGTTTATTTAAGTTTAAGACATTTTTTGTTTAAAATTAGAATAGAAATGAAGGGAATAAAATACAAGTGTCAAGATTTCCACCTGATTTGTTGTATTAGTGGGACATTGTGTTTTTCTTTGTAAACTGGTCCATATCCTTCTTTCTTAGTTTGCATGGTGAATTCTAAGGGTGGGTGGGAGGGTTGAGGTTCAGTCCATGTTCCTAATTGTACAGTGTATTACAGTTTGGGAAGGAGAACAATATCGCATCCTTTATATCTGGTCAGATTTTTTAAAGATATCCGATGGAAGCTTGGGACAATACAGTTTACTCCCTATGCAATTCACTCACGTGGTATATCATATCCTGTGGACATATTTTACTATTCTGACTTGGAACACTATGCTTCACAATGTGTGCTATATTATGTATATATATGTATTATATATGTATTTACTGTAAGGAGCTTGGGAAATCAAAGATAAAGGTTTACATACAGTAAGGTTGGGTTTCATTGCATTTTTTCTCTCTTGAGTGGATCTAGACCTTAACCTGTGTGAATGTGATATTCCCTTTGTAAGAACAGTATTCTTTATCATTTCTAAAAGGCTTATATTAGTCCAGGGAAATCTGTTCTGGACATGTATAAATACTCCTTAAAAGGAGATATCCAAAGCTATTTCATTTTTATAAAGATTTTATAGCTGAGTATATAATTTGTCAATATGAAAATATTGCAGATTTTTTAAAAATCTTCCCTTTTAGCCCCAATGCTATTGTTAGTCGTATTGTTCATTTAGGGTTTACAAAGATCATCCTTGTTGATGTCTAGATTTTAACATTTCTGAGTTTAAGACATTAATGGGTTTATAAAGTGTGCTCTACAGTTGGGCCTGAAAGACTACATTTTTCAACTTGGAGAATTTGCTGTGAATTAATTCTGTAATGCATTATTTTTTATTATGATGGTCTAATGAAAACATATTTGCAAAAGGTGTCATTTTGTCACTATGGTTTTGATTAACCTTTAAAAGCAAAGTCATAAACTATGTATAGGTTCCTGTAAAAAAATAACTTGTCTAAACATTATGGCATTCTGTCATTTTGCATATTTTTTTAGTTGTAAATCTGGAATATATTGATGTATGTTGATATAATGCATAAAGGACAGTACAATATTTTCTTCTAGCATTTGCTGAAGTGAAACTATTTTGTGGTAAATCTTTGAAAAACGAATAAAGCATAGTGTGGGGAATGCTGGCACTCCTAAGATTTACACTGAAGTGCTAATCAAAAGACATTTCAGGATTCTATATTAATGCTTTTGTCGAGTGTAGTTTAATTTAAATAAATGCCTTAACTTTAAATACCTTATATTTGGTATAGCCGATTTTATGATATGGTCAGAATCACAGTATGATTTGTACGTTTGTGGTTTTTTGGATAAGTACTTCTAGCTTGAGCAAACAAAATTATCAATGATACAAAAAAGTAAAAAGTCTGAGAAGATTCCACTGAAACTTGTTCTTAGTTTAAAGATCGCTTTGTGCAGTGATATTAAAGGAATGCAGCTGGTAATTTCGTGTTACTGTTTGATTGCTGTTATAACTGCAGGAAAAAAAGTGTTTAGTATAATTTGTGCAATGAAAGAGAAACTGTTAGTGTGCTGACAACAAATACATAGACCTCCTTGGAATAATATGCAAATGTTTAATTTTACAGAAAAATAATGAACTCCGATTAATGTGTAGAGGGAAAAAAAATACCTCCCTTTCTCAGTGTGTTAAATATGCATTTTAATAATGCCAAATCATTTTGAAATTGAATAAACTGTACATTTTCAGTGTATTTAAAAACTTTTCTATTGGTGTTCAGTTTATGGCCCCTTTGTGCTTCTTTTAATCGCTGTTTCTCTTTGAGAAGTAACAGCGAGATTCTTTACTGAATACATTTGTCAACTCTTGGGTTCTTGAAGATGGTTTCCTTTTTATATTTGGTGCAAATTAAACAAATATCTGTATTTTGTGCTTCTATATTGTTTTTTTTTTTCCAAAAGAAAAGCTATTTTGCCGTGATCTCTTGTAAAGGTCTCTGATTACAATCATTGTGCCACCTGCAGCTGAAGGAAATATGGGTTTCATTGATTTCATTGGTCTTAAACATTTGTGCCTCTATGATTACCTTTTAGCCAGCCAGTTAATGTCCGTCTCCTACGAGTATAAAACGGTATCATTTCTATTGTGCTTTCTTATTTCAGTTGGTAGCGTAGTAGAATTTGCATTTTGTTTGCGTGAATGCAGTGTTAAGGTTGCATTTTCAGAATATGCTGTATTTTTTGTGTGTATTAGTCTGTAGTGGTATCGGTATCCACCTTCGTTCACTTTTTCTATAAATTAAATGAAAAGGTTTATACAGTAGGTTCTATGGAAAATGCTTACAATCAGCCACTTAGTTTTTGAAGAATTGAAAAGAATTTTGTAAAATAGCCACTAGGTGGCAATCGTTTACTAATCTTGTAGAGAACATTAAAAACTTTTAAGAAAATACAAGAGGAACATTTGTCTATTATGTATGTCATTCTGTTAATACGGTATATTAAAAGGCGACCGCGATTTGCCGCTTGGAAGACTAGGAACTCCTTTAAGTCACGTTGACGCTTTAAAATTATTTTCTCATTGTGCTATTTAATTTCTGTTTGTAAAGCCCCTTCCATTTCTGCTGAAAATAGCATGGTTCAGTGAAGTATTTGATTTTTTTGATTTGTAATATTGTCTTGTCTACGTCTTTTCCCAGAAAACTATTGGAACTGGCTTATTAAAAATTGAGTTTTATCAAAACCCGTACAGGTACAACAATAACATGTATGACCCGGGACAAACATTTTGAAAGCCTATTGGGAGAAGGGAGTTTTATTAGTGAAGTGGTAAGGATGGGACCGAAATAAAGCCAACAAACATGTTCTCTCTGTGTCGAATATTGAAAAAACTAACATTTTAGTTATCTAAGTAAGATTTCAGCTAAAACTGTTTTAATGGCATGGCCATATTGCACTTTCTAAACTTGGCCTTGTTCCGGAGTATCTCGCTATCACCCTTACGATGTATTTTATTCAAAGTATGTACTGTATGCAATATATACATTCTGTACCCAAGCATAATCATTCAGTGAATTCAAGTAGAACAGTAATATAGTCTTAATATATATTTGTCGTATAAAACTGATTTTCTGTAAAGTTTTGCAGAATCGAAAGGTTATTGACCTTATAATTTAAATTAAAAATTAAAATTAAACATTTATAAATTAAAAAAATGTTCTTACATCTGAGATTAGATCAGTAGCCTTTCAGGCACAATTTGGAAACCCCATCCGCTGCTTGCGTGAATCGTTTTGGTAGGGTTAGACCGTGGTGAAAAATGTAAGTCATTGTAGTAGTGGTCAGCTGGAGCCTTTCATTGTCTTTTGCCCAAAAAAGCTCAGAAATTGCCCTTCACTGCACTGTGGGAAAATCATGCCCTCTTCCTTTTGTCCTAATCTTTGCTTCTCGCCTATAGTAGTAGTCTCTTCCACCATCGGGTGCTTCAGCTTTCAGTCCTCCGTGCATTTAGGCGTCCCATTTTAGAGATCAGATAGCTTTTCAAACTCGGATTGCATTAGCCATAATTCCTCTTTACACCACGGCTTCATTTGTCTATTTACACAATACATTGAAAGATAAAGAGGAGTGCTGAGAAGCAGGCAATCGGCTCATCGTTTTCGCTTAATTGCACACAAATTTCCTGTATAGTTGGAGGCTTAGGCTCAATAAGTAGTACATTAGCTAGAATAAATCCATTATATGTATATATTCAGAGCCCAAGAACTGTTATGCAATGGGGTGATTGTCTCTAAATGAACCTGGTTACATTGATTTGCGATTAATCATTTTGCGGAGTGACTCATCTGTGTTCACAGTACAACAAAAATGTCATGTTTACCTGACGGCATTAACTCCATTTATCTCGGGAGTATTGGAAAAATGTTCTTGTTGCCAACGTATGAAGTTCGTCGGATTCAATCATCTGCTCTTGATGGAGCAAATATAAAAAAGCTTATTCGGGGAAGCTGTAGCTTTAAGACAAAAAAAAACGTTTACAGCACCTTGGAAGAGAGCAAAAATAATACACGTACTGGCCGTTTCAAGAACGTAGCTTCGGAGTGAATAAAATTCCTTTCAGTATTTTTTTTTAACTTGACCCATTATTGCTTTACCAAATTGAACAAATCACCTTATTCTTTTTAAACAAGTAGTAAGCGAAGGAATAGTGCGTCATTCCAAGAATCACAGCGAATATAACGTTTTGACTCTAAAATTAATTTAACATCCAGAAATTGTCATTGCATGGCATGCCTGCAGTATATCCCTACCATGCATTCACGTGTGCGGAAAATACAGTCACACTTTACCTCCCCACCCTCCATTTGTGAAGAATGCTGATGTTTCTAAGTATTCAGAGCAGAGACAGTTGGGTCGTGGAATTATCGTCTCCTGTCGTGAAAGATCTCTGGTTCTAGCATCTTGCAATCAATTGCAAGAAGGGCAGCATTCATTTACGGGGACATCAGTCCAAAAAAACACTTACCAGTCCAGTTGAACAGTAACGTCTTAGCCCTGTGGAGCTCTTAAATTCTTAAATTTTAAAGAATCTGAATTTTACAACATTAGGTTAAATCACTAATATGGAAACGTGTGTTTCAAGATAGGAAACAGCCTATTATTATGAATGTTCAAATTTTACAAAAAATATGAGTCTTAAGCACTTTGATATTTTTAAAAGTATGCAACATACTGCAGAAACGACCAAGTAGAGTGCTGAAGAGAATTCCTAAAAGCTAATACCACGTTCCGATACGTCGAACAAATCTCCTTGCTTACGATAGATACAATTGACGGGTCTTCAATATAACAGCACAGTATTTCCGAATAAAAATGACCTTATTAGTTTTCTAAATCTTTTTAACAACTCAATGTAATTGCTGCAGTTAACGAAACACCATGACACTGTGTACCATTTCCAAAACTTCAAAGCGATTTTCCGTAGAGCGTCGGTTGTTTCTGCAACTCTTTAATCCAATGCATTGCAATTTGTCTCAATTGTATATGATTTCCCGTAAGAGCGTAAAATGGTAGAACTTTATGCTTCTGAAAATTAAAATTAAATCATTTATTTTTTCATCAATTACCCCCCACCCCCCAAAAAGAAAACTGTTACGTAACCTCTAATACACTAAATTACTGATTAAATTATTGGGTCAAAAGTTCTTTTTGTCGATTTGACTTTCTGTTCAAACGACAGGTTTACATATTTTCTGATTCAGTCCACTTTTATTAATTATTCATTTACAGAGTAAATGAGTATTACACAGTGCACAGTGTTAGATGATCGATTTGCTTCACTTACACTGTAAAACGCATTTGTATACTCATAAAAAATAAGGAGTATTTCTTGACTACTTTCAGGGCTA